GGCAATGGGCTGGATTGGTGGAGTACTGTATTCTCGGGTGGCGTGGATCCGTTCTTGTTTAGAGGATCCGAGGGTAGGTTGGTATATGTAGGTCGGGGACCTGCATATGTCGTATGGTCTAGAATTCCCAGCTGGGTTTTTAATCGGTTCGAATCATCGTTGCTCCTCGGTTATGGAGACTCAACTCACTGTTCATCATCGTAGTGTTAATAACTAGAACTTGAGGATGGTTTGAGAAAGTGTTGGATACGAAGTTTCATGATCTCAATACGGATCATGTCAGCTTTGTATATGATCTTATGAAGTTTTAAATATTGATGTAAAGAATTTTATTAAAAAGCTTTTACGCAAAAGAACTTTGATTATTGCTAAAGTCATACCTTGAATCCCTGAGCCTGCATTCATAAGTTCTATCAGTTTTTATTTTGGTTAAGTCTTGTTGAGTACTTTTGTACTCAGGGTTCGTTGACCCTTGTTGCAAGTGAGGGTCATGAGCAGATCTGTTTTGGATCGTGCTGCATGACTGTTGTTCAGTGCGATAACGATAAGTAAATGTGTGGTCCTTGGGCAGGACAGCTTTAATTGTGTGTTTTGTAATATATTATAATACCATTCCACTACTTTGTTTTGTATTATTAATCGAACTTAGTTGTATGGTTTGAAACAAATGGGTTTGTAAACTATGTTATTGTAAGTCTTCCGCTATATTTACTCTGATGTATCTATTTAAATAAACTATTGTAATACTACAATGACTCTGTAATGTGATCCTGCTCGGAAATCGTGGATGATTCGGGGTTCCTCGAGGACACCCGACAGTCTTCTTAAGTTATCGGGAACGTATGCATAGATGTCAAAGGTCGTTGGACAGTGACAGGTGCATGTGGGCCCTATAATTTAGGAGGTTCTGCCACACCAAAGTTTAGAAGTAGAATTTTAAGTTGCCTAATTCACCCCCCCTCTTAGGCGTCACGGTCCCCTTCACGTATATCTTTCTTTTGATTCTAGATTCCAAATATATTCCTTTAGTTCTCGTTGAGCTGAAACCTCCAGAGACAATTCATGTCACTCTAGTCACTCCACCGTTGATGATGAGCTATTTCATAACCATTTTTACAACAACCTAAAAACAATAACATAGCTTTACATTTGCAGTTAGTCATAAACAAACATATGTGCTACAAAATGCTTGAAGAAGTGGAAAGTGATCCAGATGTAATGAATGAAGATGATGAGCTGGGAATAAATCTTTTAACATCTAGACTTTTGTGTCCAGATGTGTTGTTGGTGGACTTGTTGTTCAAACACGATCTTGTGTGGTTTGTCGATTATCATTTTGAAATCTTGTGGACTTATTTGTGGAATTTTGGACTTATTTGTGGTATAATATTATTTTGTCATGTGTGTATTGTACCACTGTCAAGTCTATGTGTACTATCGTGTTTACTTATTTAGTTTGGCTTTATGTATGTCATGTTGTGAACTTGTGACTTGCGAGGTGTACTTATTCAGTTTGGCTTATGTCTATCATCTCGTGACTTGTGATGCGCACATTATTCAGTTTGGCTTGAGTTTATGTATGTCATGACATGACATGCGGTGTGTTTTATGTGTATACTTATTCAGTTTGCCATATGTTATGTAATTGAGTTGCCCTGTGGCATCTATTTTGGCTTAAAGTTTTATTTTCGCATATCCCGCTACCGCAACGGCTCTCGACTTGCAGTAACGGAAATAGAAGAGAGTATTTTCCATTCGTTCTCATCTGTTTTCACCCCTATTTGCCTGGTATCACAAATCACCACCTGATTGTACGGTAAACAACTCACCAAATGATTTGCCTAGCGTCATGAAGTCGCATCCAATAATATGGTGGCTACTCCATACTAGAATCAAGTTTGAAACTGAGCTGTGCATCATCGGATGATGCACACACACCAAGTTTGAGATCCTTGAATTAAAAACCTATCCAACAATGCCACTTAAGCTATGCTTGGTGAGAGTATACCGTGCATATCCAAATGCTCCCAACTCGACTCTTTATCAAGTTACATGTCTTAGACCCCTTTTAATAGTATGGCCAAATAAAAACAAAGCCCTATATACTCCACGTCAAGCACCTCCGAGCACCAAGCTTGCACATGACTCTATAAATTTGTTAGTCTTTGTAAATGCCCTTTGCACCATACTTGTTATCAATCCAAATTATATTATCGGGTGATCCAAGAAAACCATGTGGTCCACGAGTTACCAACCAATATAAATATTACTATTGCAAAACACACGTTAGTCATACAGACTTATGTTTATCAAATCCTAAAATCAAAATTGGAACCTAAATGCGTACAATACCAAGCACCGACTATAACAAGTGAGTGAGACAAAGGAATTTGGCAGAGTTGTCGATCCCTGTATTGAGGTGGCGGGAGTTGTGGATTTTGGCTGGAGATTGCCAACGACGGGCAAGCGTTGGCAGAGTTCTCAATCTCCCGATTTGAGGTGATCGGAACTGTGGATTTGGTTAGAGAGATTGCCAGGTCTTGACCTACTACGTCAGTTGCACTAGGGCCTTGTTTAGATTGTAAATTTTTGCAATCCGGACACTGTAGCACGTTTCGTTTGTATTTGACAAACTTTGTCCGATCATGAACTAACTAGGCTTAAAAGATCCATCTCGTGATTTATAACCAAACTGTGCTATTAATTATTTTTTTACCTACATTTAATGCTCCATGTATACGTTCAAAAATTGATGTGATAGAGAAGAGAGAAAAAACTTAAAATTTAGAGGTGATCTAAACAAGGCCTAACAGGACATACGCGTAGAATAGTGGATGCAAATCAAATGTCACGGTTCCATAAAAAAAGTCACGTGTCACTAGCAGTATCCACGACTTCTTTTTTTTTATCTCACAGATCGGCCTGTTCGTTTCGCTGAAAAAACAAGCCGGAATACTATTTCAACTGATTTGTTGTGAGAGAAAAACCCTTATTGCAGGTAAGACTCATGAGCAGATTTGTTTTGGATCGTGCTGCATGACTGTTGTTCATTGCGATGACGATAAGTAATGTGTGGCCCTTGGGCAGGGCAACTTAATTGTGTGTTCTGTATTATAATATAATGCCACTCCACTACTATATTTTTGTAATATTAATCGAACTTAGTTGTATGGTTTGAAATAAATGGTTTGTAAACTATGTTATTGTAAGACTTCCGTTGTTTTTACTTTGATGTATCTATTTGAATAAACTGTTGTAATACTGCAATGACTCTGTAATGTGATCCTACTCGGAAATCGTGGATGATTCGGGGTTCCCTGAGGACATCCGACAGTCTTCTTAAGTTACCGAGAACATGTGCATAGATGTCTAAGGTCGTTGGACATTGACAGTGCAGTGTATGGGTCCTATAATTTAGGAGGTTCGCCACACCAAAGTTTAGAAGTAGAACTATGCCTAATTCCCCCCCTCTAAAAAAATAAATATCTTTCTTTTGATTCTAGAAAATACGAATTAGTTCTCGTTGAGCTGAAACAGAGACAATTCATGTCACTTAGTCACTCCACCGTTGATGATGAGCTAAAGCATAACCATTTTTACAACAACCTTCAAAGTTACATTTGTTAGTCATAAACAAACAGATCAAAATGCTTGAAGAAGTGGAAATTGCGACAATGACTGAAGATGATGAGCGGAATCCCTTCTTTTAACATCTGGACTTTTGAGTCCAGATGTGTTGTTGGTGGGCCCTCGAGTTCAAACACGATCTTGTGTGGTTTGTCGATTATCATTTTGAAATCTTGTGGACTTATTTGTGGAATTTTGGACTTATTTGTGGTATAATATTATTTTGTCATGTGTGTGTTTGCGGTCATCTACTAGCCGTTCTGCTTCTGTCCGCCTAGGGAGAGAGAGTAGGATTGTGCATATAGGAGGAGAAAAAATGGACGGTCGCAGGCTCGCTATCGCTATGTGATGTCCCAACGGCAGAACGGCTCACGCCGAAAGGGCGCAGGCACGCAGCACACCCTATCAAGTCTACTGTGCAACGCTTCTCGTCTTGTAACCGCTCTCAATTGTCATCAGTGATGCTTAGCTCTGAAGTCTGAACCGAGCAAGATCTGTGATGGCTGATGGCTCACGAATGATCCTGAGGATTGCAAACTGTGGGCCTGATCTCCAGCTGCACCTCTTCATTAAATCTGTCATCTGCGGAGCAATGCAAGATCTAGGAAAGCTAGATGCAGATAAGTGCTCGGTTCGCTTGGCTGATAAGCCATGACTGAAAGTACCGTTGGCTGATTTATTATGAAAAAAAAATATTGTTCATTGATCGAAAAAGTACGCCTTAAAAGCAAAGCAAAGAGGGCTAAGGAATTTTGTGAGAAGACGGGAGAGTCATCGAAGTATACTACTATCATGCGGTGACCGAAAAAATACGCTTTATAAACAAAGCGAAGAGGGCTAAGGAATTGTGAGAAGACAGGAGAGTCGTATACTACTATCATGATCTGAAAGGAAACCACAGGTCTTCACCTTTCGCTTTCCTGGCATGAATCATACTATCATACTACTGGCTAGTAGCGACTCAAACGGAGTAATGCTGAGGTAAAGCCCCGGGTATGACACAGGATAACGAAAGCGCAAAGCCACAGCCAGTCAGCCACCTTGACAGCGAAAGACGATGATATGGAAAGCAGTCAAGGCGCGCACACATAGATCGCTCCGGCGAGGACAGTTATTTATTTTTTTTTGGCCATGATTCATTATTAAGATCCACGGTATGTTACACCGGAGAAGAGGGAGACATGGAGGAGTCCTAGGCTACCGAGCCACGGCCGCGCGCCGGCGTGACACCCACAGGTGGGCCTACAATGGGTTGCCCCCACCCGTGCCACTGGAAGGAAGTCGTCACCCCGGCGACGGCCGGAGCACTCCATGCCACGCAGCACACACAGAACAGCTCGGCTGCTGACAGCCTCCTCCGGCACTGCAGTCCGTTAGATCTCCGGCTCCGGCGGGGCCTCCACGGCGGCCACGGGCACGGTCGCCGCAGCATCCGGGGGGGCGAGGTGGTCCGGGCGGCACCCGGCGACGAAGTCGATGAGCTCCTTTCCGGACTCGTCGGCGTCGCCCGCGGGCGGCGGCGAGATCCAGAGCAGCACGGAGACGGCCACCAGGAAGAAGGCCGTGGAGAGAAGCAGCGGCCAGAAGAATGACACCACGGCGCTGAGGCTGGGCCCGACGGCGGAGATCGAGACGGCGGCCGCGGCCACGAACGCCACCGCGACGGCCGCCTGCACCCGGTGCTCCCACACTAGCTCACCGAGCTTCCCCATGGGCGCCGCCATGGCCGGATCGGCAGCGCGGCCGGACATGGGAGATCTACGGGGGCGAGGAAAGCAAGCTTCTGGAGCGAGGTAGCTAGGGGTTTGGCTCTCGCCGTAACAGAGAGAGAGAGAGAGAGAGAGAGAGAGAGTGAGTGAGAGAGGGGTGGGGTTGGAGTCGCTGGGGGGATGAAATGGATGGGAAGCGGAGGACGGCGAGTGGGGGAAAGGGGGTGTGGGAAGCCTGGGGTTATCCCAGACTGCGGAGATTCGCCCTGCCGCCGCCTACGGCCAAGGGTTGTGTGCTGTTCTGGGGATGTTTTTTTCTCTTGCAGCGCCCCCGGGCTTAGTGCGGGGCCTGCCGTTTTACCCCTTGGGTTTTACCATAATGCCCTGTCGGTGGGGCTGGTACATGTAACCGGTTTTTAGTTCTACTAGGGTAAAATGAGCCATTTGTGTTTTTATACAGGATATTCATAATTCGCGCGCGAAACTGTACCAACATCGGTTCATATACATTTCGTGTGATTTCTTGGAAAATTTCATACAAGTGCTACGTGATACGAGTCGAAGCGTTACATGCATGTGAAGCTTACGTTACATGCAAAAATAAAAAATAAAAAAACACCGGTTTCAGCACGTGTGCAACTCAGTAGGATCAACGTGGATTTCATCGCTTTTGCAAGCCCTTTTGTGTGTTGCTAGTGCTCCATTTTTGTTATCTCTCTAGCTTCGCTAATATCAGTACTTCTATAAAACTAGTATCTATGGTTTTTTCTTTCAATCTCTTAGATCACCTATCGCTAGCTTCAACGATATCTTTTTATGCTCATTCTGGTATTTACTATCTAGGGATGTCTAGCTTTTAATATAAAAAAACTAGAAATATTTTTAGATTTCCTTATGGCTGGATCTTAATAATAATAAAGGGCACTTTGGGAAGGTTTGCTGTGAGTTCCGTGGATCGTCGGCCCCACTGGCGGTACAAGGCACAAGTCGCAACGTGGGACAACAGTGTATACGTGGCTGTATCCTCTATGGGCTATGGCTAGGCGCTCCTTGCTCACGTGCCAGGCACTCTCGCTTGACGGCAGTTTCTCCCGTGGCCCCCTGATTTCGGCTGGGCCGGTCGATTGCTTGGATTGAAACAGGCCACAGCCCACAGCCCACATCAGAGGCGCCAATTGTGGCTCGACTCGGATCGTAGGCGTGCCGTGTGCGAGTGCATTTGTTTGGTAACTTTTACGTACGTACATGTTTGTACACTACAGTTATGTATCATTTTTTTTTGCGACGAAATGTGTCAAACCAGAGCGTGTCAAAACGCTTCAAATCAGATAAAACAACATGGTCGACCACCTGATAGCATACGCAATTTCTATTTATTCTCACATTGTAGTAGTGTAATTAATAATAATACAAGGAAACACTCGTATCCCTGAGAACGGACGTACGGCACTGAACCTAAAGAAAATGACCTCGACTCGACCTGATGATGAAGAAAAAAAAAAGAGAAAGGGAAAACTGAGGCCACGAACTAATTACTGCATGTGATGCAGTAAGAAACACACGATGCAACAGCTTTGAACCTGATGCAATGACGCAACCTACACGTACGAGAGCTAGCCGAGCCGTCGTCACTCCACCGGCCGTACCGGCGGCGGCGGCGATCTACTTCACTTCTTGGGCTTGCCGTTGGCGACGGCAGCCCCCGCGGGGTTAAGCGAGTCCCAGGCCTCGATCCAGGTGACCATGGCGTCGGCGAGCTTGGTGAAGTAGGGGTCGACCTTGCCGAGCTTCTCCTTGACCTGTTGTGAGAGCGCGATGTAGCACTTTTGCACGGTGTCGCAGTCTTTCGACAGCACGACGGCCTGGAAGAAGGGGATGATGTCCTCCTGCCAGAAGATGCCCTTGTACTCCTTCTTGAGGTTTACGAACGGGTTGCTGGCCTTGCTGTGCCAGATGTAGGGCAGCCCGGTCTTGACGCCCAAGCCCAGGCGATCGCAGATTACCTGCGCACATATATACACGCGCGCAGCGGCGGCGTCAGCATCACCGGGGTCGTGGAGTGAATCATCTCATGTGAAAAAATCGTCTGCTGTTCTGTTACCTTGACACACCAGCCGGCCCACATGTCGTCGTAGCGTCCGATGGGCTGGCCGTCGCCCATGAGGCCGAAGTACATGGCGGGGCCGATGAGGTCGCGGTCGAAGGCGAGGTTCATGCCGCACATGGGGAAGAGGGTGCCCTTGGGGATGGTCATCACGGCGTTCACGTACCTCTCGTTCCGCTCCCGGGGCTTCACCAGCTGCGTGGGGGCGTCGTAGTCCGGGATGTTGAGCCACAGCCCGTGCGACACGGCCGTCGGCACGCCCTCCCGGAGGCTGAACGGGTAGCCGCGCACGAAGTCGGCGCCCGGCGCGTAGGGGTCGTAGAGGGTGTTGAAGAAGAGCGGCGTGGACGGGCAGAGCAGGTTCTTGATGTGCTGCGCCAGCGCGTCGATGTCCTTGCCCGTAGGGTCCTTGGCCACCTGCCCCATCGCAGCAGCACGCGCGTAAGAAAGAAGGAGCCGAATGCACGCATGCGCATTGCGCACAGATTAATAAAACTGTAACTCACGAAGCAGTCGTCGTCGATTGTGTAGATGTACTTCTTCTTGGACACCATGTAGCCGAAGCAGCGGCACGCGGAGTCCTTGAAGGAGATGCAGGACGCCCTGGGGCCGAGGATCTTGTTGATGTCGTTGCGGTTGTAGAGCTCGTAGTCGAACCCCTTGGGCACCTTGATCGTCTTGGCCGGGTCGCCGTCCTGCACGATGATGAGGTGGTACGGCTGGAAGAAGGGCCGCCACATCTCCAGGAAGTCCAGGTTGCGGATCGTCGGGATGACGATGTCCAGCTCGTCCTTGAGCGGCGGCGCCATCGCGGAACGGCGGCCGGGTAGCTAGCCTTGATCCGGGACGTACGCGTGCAGAAGCAGAGAGGGTGGCGCGCGACTCAGGGGGCGAGCGAGGTGGACGCTGAGAATGAGGAACGGAGAGGGGTCGCGCAGCTATATAGCGCTGCGGCAGGGATGCTCCACGCGTCAGCCGGCCGCGGAAAGCGACCACATGAATCGACGAGGACCGTGGAGTGGCGCGCGCGAATGGCGGATCGGGAGCCCTGTGGTGGTTGAGTGCTTGCCGGGGAAAGGAACGGCTGCCTTTGCTGTGGTGAGCTGCCGAGTGAACCGGGTGAAGAACCGTTGGATCGGCAGCCTACGGACAAATATCTGCCTTTGCTTGCGTGTCGCTTTGCTTTGCATAACGGTTATTTGTAACGTTGCCGTACGCACAACTGTTCCAAGGTTACTTTTCTCTTATATATTATTACACAAATTCAAATGCGATCCGGAGCAAACATTGCGTGCCATTGCAGATTCTGAAACTTGATGCGCTAGCAATTTGGAGACTCCTGTCGCTAACTTTTGTAGTACCAATTCTAGAATCCAACTAAGTTATGTAACACAGAGACAACCATTTTAAATTAAAAATCAATGCAGTTTAACATCTTCCAATTCCAAGCTTTGGAGCATTACAGCAGGAAATGTGCAACAATCTCTCCACCACCAGATGAATATAAAATCTGATACAGAGCGATAGTATTTCTACAGCTGCCACAGAAAAGACCGCAAAAGCATCACCTCATTGCACCAACAAAGTATCTTTACAGCATAAAGCATTCCCAACTTAATCTTCCACAAAATCTCCAGTCTCTTCATCTGAGTCATCTTCTTCTTGCTCTCTAGCTTGTTGGGTGTATTCATCAAGTGATGCAGCAGGGAAGATATCACCTTCTCGACTTCTGTCAGCAATCTTTGGGACTGACGGCCCACTCTCCCCACCCTTGCCTTTGCTCATCTGCCATGAAATAATTAACCATATTGAGTGTCATTGGAATCATCAGTGTAGAGAGTTTTCGCTGAAATAAATACATCACCGCTCAACATTATTTAAAATAAGAGTAACAAAGGTCTTAGTCAAGTTGGCTGCTAGAATTGAAACTGGAACATTCAACTGCAGTTTCCCTTACAATAAGGAACCAAAATCACATTCCACTTTTCCAATGACCTTGAGTAGAAAATGTCAGTGTATTGCATTTACATGTACTTGAGCATTTGTTTCAAAGGGAATGTACCAGATCCCATGCTCTATGGTTGTTCAATACAACCATTTCCATTATTCATTTATGTAGGTTAAAAGTTTCTTTATTAAGACACTAAATCATAGTACTCGTTAATGTTACATAAAGTAGAATTCGGTATCAAGCAACGCTACATAGGAAATACAGATCTTAGAAGAGTACAGATTAAATTGTGCAAACAATGGAATAGATTATGCATCACACTACACTTGAGGAAAATTGTTCAATTGGCAATAGTGAGAAAAATACTGAAGTTTTAAACTAAGATATAGCAGCTCAAAGGTCAGATCAAACAGAACACTTATTCATTCTCACACTACACTTGAGGAAAATTGTTCAATTGGCAACAGTGAGAAAAATGCTGAAGTTTTAAACTAAGATATAGCAGCTCAAAGGTCAGATCAAACAGAACACTTGTTCATTCTCCAAAAACAGGTCAGTATCAATATTCCATATGAATGGGCCTAGGTTGATTCTACAATTGTTGCATTGGCTTTTCATTGTATCTTAAGGTTTCACTGGATGGAACCTTGCCAAAACAGGCCCCTAGCTTAAACTCCAAAGTGTAGCTCTGGAGCAAAGGTTGTATATATTTTGTACAACCAAGGCTGATACAAATGTTTGGACTTTTCTCAAAGATAAAAATAAAAATGCCAGCAGAATTTGCACAAAAAAAGGATAAATATAGATGCAGAATTAGGTAAGTATCAGACAAATAGGGGAGATCTATTAGCTATCCATGAAATAGAAGACAGAACTATACATATCTTGTAAAGGACACTTGGCAATTAAGAAAGAATTACCATCTAATCTCTCTCCTCTCTTCTACTACCTTATCAAACAAGGCTGATACAAATGTTTGGACTTTTCTCAAAGATAAAAATAAAAATGCCAGCAGAATTTGCACAAAAAAAGGATAAATATAGATGCAGAATTAGGAAACACAAATGTAAGTATCAGATATCCATGAAATAGAAGACAGAAAAAAAAGCACAATTTCCTTTTCTGATTCATGGCTCCATAGTCTTAAGAAGGGACTATAAGTAAAGGACCCAGAGTTTACCAAACAGTAACAACAACAAAAAGCACAATTTCCTTTTCAGATTCATGGCTCCATAGTCTTAAGTTAATTCGGTTTCTGCATCAGGGAGACTACTAATAATAGAGGCAAGTCTATAAGAACAAAAGTTTATTCAGATTGAAAAGTTGAACAGAAGTACTCACAATACGAAGAAGTGCACGTCTTTCCCTCTCCCTGGCACCTCTGATAGCCTGAAAAACAACATCAGTCATCAGCGCAAAACAATCAGCCTGTTCGTTTCGGCTGAAACGATCGTGGATTATTACTGCTGGCTGGTTTGGTGTGAGAGAAAAATATTGTTCTGGCTTATAATCCACGATCGTTTACGACCAAGCGAACAGGCTGAATAATCTTCTACTCCTCATGTAAGTACAACTCTTTCCTTCTTAATTGATAGGCTGAGTTCCTGCCATTTGCGTTAAAAAAATACTCTTCTACTAGGTTCATAAAGCAATCTACTATCTAGTTCAAACTTCCAATATATAACACAATCAAACCTCTTCTAGTTCCTTGCGTTCACTTTCCTCCTCATTCGCATCCCTAAATAGAATTACAAAATTACAAATTAATCAAACTACAGATATTATGCATATATCGATACAGCAACAGGAATGCACAGCAGGAATCACCTTCCAACAAGCTCATTAACACGAGTGCAGCATTTGGCACATATGCCGAGGTCCTTGGAGCAATCTGCATTAAGCAGCAGCAACCCGGATCAGTAACAATCCAACATATCAATGTTTAACAACCAGACCTAGTGGCACGAGAGATTGAGCAGCCAAAATTCACCTCTGCATACGTTATGGTACGCTTGCCGGACATTTCGCTTACTACACTTCTGGCTGCCAACCCAAAAAAACATGTGTCACCTCTGCTCACTACTCAGTATACGTGCTAAACAGGGAAAGAGATTTACCATTTTGCTGGCTCAACAATGGGCTTGTATTTTCCGTATCTACAAAAAACAAACAAACGAATCGGACCTAGGAGCAACGAAAACAATCGAAGCTACACACTAACTAAATGAGCTTAGACAACCGATGAGGGATGAGAACTCCCCACCTGCGTTTCCAGTCGATTTGATCCCGGCAGCGCTGGCAGACGCCGGTGATCTCTGATAGAGGTCGGAACCTGCCCCCGGGCTCCTGCGGCGTCGAGGGTTTGCAACAGCGAGATTTGAATGAACAATCCAGAACTATGGGGAAGGGGGGAGGGCGTGGGGAGGAGGACAGCTTACGGTTTCGTTGATCTTCTGGCCAAGGTTCGGCTTCCACGCGTAGCGGTTCTGGTGTTTCGGCGGTCCCTGCCGCTTCGACATCGCCGAACTCCGATGTTCTCACCCTCCTCCGCTTCGCGCCGCCGGGCGTTTCTCTTCTCCCGGTCACGCTCCGAAGGCTTTGCCCTTAAAACCTTTCACGCTGTGGGTGCACGACGTGGCTGCATCGTACTCGTCCGATCCCAAATTATATTTTATTAGGAAATTACGTGAAATGGGCCGTAGCCCACAAGGTTAGTGCTCCAAGAAATTCCTTCTGCAACTTCGAATCGGGCCCAACTGAAGCATAGTGGGGGCCCAGACCTGACCTTCTCCGAGGCCCGAGCAGGCCCCAACTGTAGCACTGCCACACCAAGTCACCAACAGAGTCACAGACGCAGCTCAACAACGGCAAGGAATCCGGCGCTTGCCGATCGAGAGTAGTTCGAAACCCCCCTTCTCGGAGTGGGAAACGAAACCTCCTCCGAGGAGCCCGCGCTCGAGCCGGCGGCGGCGGCAGCCGGAGCAGCCTAACAGAGCTTTTCGAGCTAGCCAGGCGGATTCACCATGCGGAGGAAGCTGCTGCAGTTCCCGTCCCTCATCGCGCAGCACGCCCTCCGCGGGGCCCAAAAACCCAGACCCCAACCCCAGCCCCACCACCACCGCTTCCTGCACTCCCCCTCAGCGCCCACATCCGCGTCCCCTTCCCCCTCCCCGTCGGCCCACCTCCTATGGAATCGCCTCTCCGGCGCTGCCGGGGCCTCTCTCCTCCCTCGGACCGCCGCGGACGTCGCAGCGTCCGCGCGGACCGCCGCGTCCCGGTGGTTGGCCGCTGCGCGCGGCGCCGGCTCTCTCGATCTCTTCTCGTTGCAGCGGCGACGCAGGGCCTCGTGGTGGCAGTTCTCGTCTTCCACTTTCCTCCAAGGCGCGCCCTGGTGAGGTTCATAATTGACGCGATCTTACTTGTGAATTGTTGTAGTCGTTTCGTCATTTTGGGTTCTGGTGTCTTCGGAAGGGCGTACTGGATGGAGTCTCCCGACGGGGCGGTGTGGATGCTCATTGGTGCGAATGTAGCTGTCTTTATGCTGTGGCATGTGGCTGATCCAGGGTTCATGAGGAGGCATTTCATGGTAAGTGAAATGATCAATTTTTAGATTATAGCAGTGGTTACTATATCATTGTTGTAATGAACAGTGGTTTCTTTATTATTGTTGCAATGAGCAGATTTCACTAGACAATTTCAAGAGCGGACGGTTGCACACCTTGCTCACGAGTGCTTTCAGCCATGCAGAATCTAGTCACCTCTTTGCCAATATGTTTGGCCTCTACTTCTTTGGGAACAGTGTAAGTTACACGCTCTTCCTTTATGTTACTTGAAAGATATAGCCCAATAGGGAATTGATGTGAAAAGAATTTGCAGTGAATGGAAAATCCAAGTGTCTTCCGATGTTCTTAAACCCAAGAAAGAATATGCTAAATAGAGAAAGGCACGTTGAGGTTCTATAATCTCAGGCTCTCTGCTTTGCTTGAGTGCAGTGTCAATGTCATCTGCTATACAACAACAACAACAACAAAGCCTTTAAGTCCCAAACAAGTTGGGGTAGGCTAGAGTTGAAACCCAGCAGAAGCAATCAAGGTTCAGGCACGTGAATAGCTGTTTTCCAAGCACTCCTATCTAAGGCTAAGTCTTTGGGTATATTCCATCCTTTCAAGTCTCCTTTTATTGCCTCTACCCAAGTCAACTTCGGTCTTCCTCCGCCTCTCTTCACGTTACTATCCTGGCTTAGGATTTCACTATGCACCGGTGCCTCTGGAGGTCTCCGTTGGACATGTCCAAACCATCTCAACCGATGTTGGACAAGCTTTTCTTCAATTGGTGCTACCCCTAATCTATCACGTATATCATCGTTCCGAACTCGATCCCTTCTTGTATGACCGTAAATCCAACGCAACATACGCATTTCCGCGACACTTATCTGTTGAACATGTCGTCTTTTTGTAGGCCAACATTTTGCACCATACAACATAGCAGGTCTAATCGCCGTCCTATAAAACTTGCCTTTTAGCTTGTGTGGTACTCTTTTGTCACATAGGACATCAGATGCTTAACGCCACTTCATCCACCCTGCTTTGATTCTATGGTTAACATCTTCATCAATATCCCTGTCTCTCTGTAGCATTGATCCTAAATATCCCCTGCTTTGATTCTATGGCTAACATCTTCATCAATGTCATCAGCTATGGTTGTTGAAAATTTAGTGAAAGTATGCGCAATGTACAGTTAAAAAAATTAGCCTCATTTTTTTAACAGTAGACTGTACCAATGCTTGATAACATTTTATCTATAACATGAATTTAGGGCCAATTGTAACAATATATTTTAAAATGTTCATGAAACCAAATTATTTCACTGGTATTATACTATCCTAATTTAAAGTAAGTCCACTTTTTTGGCCACCTATATTTCCAAAAGAAGTCATGACTCACATCGTTAAAAAACCTCGGCCTGCGGGGCTAAGACAGCCCCTGGGCATTTTGCTAAGAAGACGTTCTCATGCAGGTCAAGAATAACCTCGAATCCCTGCCCCACCTATACATAGCGGCACATCGTTGTATGAATTTACAACATAACATTACTTTTGGCAGTGTTGAATTCACTCTGGTTGTATTCTTCTTTTCCTATCTTTCTCTATCAATTCAAGAATCAACTTTCTTGAAACAAAATAATTTGCCTTTTAAAGTGATGCTGGCTTCAATGATACCTCAGTTACGTAGCCTTTGCTAAGTTTGGCTGGATCCTTTATTCTGTTATTAGGAGTTAGGACTAGCCTTCCATGAATTTAAAAATTAGGATTGAGATACTTGTGAGCCGTGAGTATACTTAACAACCAAGCTATTCATTAACCAAAATAAGTGTTTGACTGGTTTAAATTGAGAATTTTCCATTAAGTTTATCATGTGGTTACACAAACAACTTAGCTTCAATATCTGAAGGGAATATATGTGCAAGCCACCCAATCTAGGTTTATGTGTTTCAGTTAGGGCTCAATGCACTATTGAGAATCACAGCCATAACTCAACATCTATATCAGATGGGATGTGTAGTAAAACCAAATATATCATATTAGGGCCAACTGCAAATTTTCCATCGGTTGTTTTCATATGGTGAGTTTGCCGCTTAAAGATGTCTAAATGCATGTTTGGCATTATAATTGCATCTTATTAATCTAACTTGCCATTGAAATAACGGAACATCAACATGCCATTTACCAGACACAATTGCTCTTCTCCTTTTTTTCTTTCCTCCCCGTCAGCCCATCACCGTAGCGCCGAAGCTATGTGAGGACTGGGGAGTGGGAGGCCGGAAAAGTGACGACGTGTCACAAGGTGTGGCCGTGAGGAAGGGCTAGCAGGGTGCGGCAGCAACTGTTCAGGATGAGTACCTGCAGGGGCAGGACAACCAAGCAAGAGCGGCTGCAGTTGGGGATAGTGGTCTCGCTGCCGGCGCAATTGCATGGGTCCCAGCCCTTGTTCCATACGCAGCCAACTAAAGCTTCCTTGCACGGGCTTGAAGACCTCCTCCATTACAGATCTGGCATGCTCACCTTAGACCTAGCCCGTTCCACAACCGTAGGAACCCCTTCGTCCACAAATCTGCCTTCTCCCCCCACCACTTGATTTATGAAGTCTGCAGAAGAAAGAGAAGGTGTTGCTTGCAAGTGGGGGCGGAGAGAGAGAGAGAGAGAGAACTTCGCATGTTTTTGTTTCCTTCGCCTGAGGACAGTGATGTGGCGAGGTCTTCTTGACGCATGGGAAAAGGAAAGAAACAGAGATATGGCTGAGGTGGTCCTTTCCTGTTCATTATGATTTTCTAAATATATTATTTGAATTGTTTTTCACATAGGTGTTGGGCACACTAAATGATGTAGAAATCGGTTGCAAACAGACATATCGAGACACATTCTGGTGACAATTTTGCAGTTTTGACTTTTTAGTGCCAAATTCCAATTGAGGGTCAAAATTGGTGGCAAATATGCAATTCTCCCATCATATTAAGCATCTCATTAGAAATAGATGTGGTGTGTAATGTGCAGTGAACTATGAATTCTTTAATTTTTTTCTCCAATAGCGTGGGATTGTCCGTCACTCCATTGCTTACCTTGTTCTTTGTAGTAATGATCTATCACCTTCTGCTGCTAACGGTGAATTGCCTTTTCCCTATATTTTTCTTTCTGCATCAGATTGCAAATGTGTTTGGTCCTGCCTTTCTGTTGAACTTGTACGTTGGTGGAGCACTTACTGGATCGGTATTCTTCTTGCTGGAGAAGGCTTTTCTAGCTCATCGGAAACAGGTAAGAATGCATGGTGTATTAAATTTTATACATCAGGATTCCACATCCTGGTGAGGCTGTCCATTTACAGCCAATGCTGAAATAACTCAAATAAGTGATAAGTTCAGGTCCTCAGCCTTTGAAAACTCTAAACCGGTCAGTTTCTTGCTTGCTATTTGAAACTGGAAAAAGTATTGGCGACTTATTGGATTTCACCCTCACCTAAGATATAGTGATGATGCTCCTCAGTCTATTCATGGAATTTCTGAATTTATTTTTTGTTTATCTTTGTGTTAATCTTCTGATATAGTGATGATGCTCCTGCAGGATTATGAAGGATGGGATACTTCAAGAGTTGCTGGACTTGTATGTGGTTTCCTGTTCCAACAACATAGTCTTAAGATTGCTGCTATATGTACAACCCATTTGCCAATTGTACAATTCAGTCAATTCTTTTACAACCAGCACATCAAATGATTCATATCACTTGGGCAATTGATTACTTTTGAATCAAAGGGTCTAAGTTTTCAAAAAAGAATCAAAGGGTCTAGATAATCAGATCACTGGTTGTTTGAAATTGTTTAAATGGGTTGTATGTGAATCATTTCCTGGTCTTAATTTAGTTTATACTAAAAGAAGCTACATTACCATATACTTGTGCATGGATGATAGAGTTTTGGCCCAATATACAAGTATTCATTCAATCATCATGTATCTAGGAATAAAGTAGACATAGGCCCATGTAAGGTGATATGGCAATTTAATCCAGTCTAATGTTTGATGACTGTATGAGCATTATTGATGGCATTGCACATACGTTACTTCATCCTAAATTTGATTCCTTCTGTTGTGTTCATGTCACTCAGGGTGCAAGTGCTGCAGTTAATGCAACTATCCTCCTTCAGATTTTTCTGTATCCCAAGGGACTAGTGTATCTTTATTTCCTCATTCCTGTTCCAGCTGCACTTATGGTGAGGATCTTTTCTCTCTTTTTTTCTTGAAACAATCCATTGTTCATTTAGTTGCTCATCACAAAATTTCTTTGTTTCTTCTCATTTCAGGGCGCAGCCATAATTGGTGCTGATTTACTTAGGTTGAAGGTATTTGTTATTGCTCTATATCGTTTTATTTTTAATTTCTTATATAGTAAGTGAATAGTTTGGTGTCACTCTTTTTCCTTTTTTTAATTGCCTGCGAAATTTGACAAATGTAACCTCTTTTTATTTGTTTTTGTTAATATAGCATGTGAATGTTTTGGGTGCCTCATTGTTTCTTGTATTTATGTATGTCGCTCAAGAGTTTTGCAAGGTCAGGGGTGTCAATTTAACTCGAGATGGCTGAGACTTGTTGGTTAATCCATAGTCACAGGGGTCGGTGTCGACGGCATGTTCCGCGACCCAGGGACATCATCCTAGTTACTTAGTTAGGGTTGGGGTCGAGCAGGGTCAATGCCCCTTGTCCCTGGGTCACCACTCCGCTGCAGCATGAGCACACCATCGAAAGGGCTGGGTTGAGGAACAGGGAGAGGATACAGGGGGGAGATGATCTGGGTTTCTGTTGCTGGGACGTAATGACACTATGACAGACGTTGTTGAAGAGGACTACCAATAGCAGTTGACAGGATCGACTGCGTGTCTTTAGGAGCAGCAACAGCCACCACAAAATTAGTTTTGTCTTCTCAAACGAAATTGGGGAAACAAAAGAGAGGACAGCATGGGCAATCGTTTTTACTACTGCCTGGTGCGAGATGTTGGCTACCTGTGGTTGATTTGTGGCTGGCGGCTTCGCCGCGATGGGTCTCTTTGAGCAGAGAGAAAGCGAGGAGCAAGGCGGGACGAAAAAGACACAGCTGCATGCGCGACTGTGATTCCCATATGTGGCCAGGTAGTTGGGTCTTGGGCTGGATAGTCTAGCATATGTGGCCAATTTATTTGTCTCTTTTGTTGTTGCTTTTTTATTACTTTGTATTGCATTGATCTTCTACAACTACTTGCACGTGGCATATCATGGTTCACATCAATCCAATTATCCACCTGGGTTGATTGGGGTCCCTTGTTCCCAGGTTCCCAGCTACCCCCTTGGACCCAAGTTTTTAGACATCCCTGAGCCAGTCGACCCAGATTTCCTGTAATTATGGGTTAATCTCCATCAGGATGGGGGCAGTGGCTCAGTATCCCGCGCAGGCCTTGGTGGGTGGGGGTGGGGGGTGTTGCGGTGCCCCAATGAAAATTAAATCCAGAGTTTTTTAGTAGTACTGTTTACATGTTAACTGTATCTACACATTACAATTGAGCCAGTATTTTGAAATTATATATGTGCAGCACTTGAAGACTAGTGAAAAGTCGCATTTACGTTATATCGAAAAACAACTATTTGCAACATTTTCCCTATCAACACGAGGATCTGGATCTGGGAAAGCCTCCCGTTGTTGTTAAATCTTGGCATGAAATGTGTCTGAGCTGCATGTTATGTGTGGTGACCATACAACACATTAGGCGTGGGAATATTTGGGGGTTCTGTGGTTTCTCCACCATACAACATCATGATGTTTTATTGTTTTCAATGAATCTCGTCTATTATGATATTTTTAATTTCCTGGCTGTAATGTTTCTTGTTTGATCTTACATCCTCTGCACCTATCTGCTCAACTGGATATTGAAATGAAATTCTACGCCTTTTTTAGTCTAATAAATGCTTTGATTGTCACTTGGGTGATCTGCTATGCAATCAACTTATGTCTGTCTGGTATATTGGTTTGTCAACTTACATAATCTGTCGGGCCATACTGTTCATGCACAATAGTTGATCTAACATCCATGAATTATATGTTTGTCACCCTGTTCAAAGGTGGAGCTAACCGATTTTTTCCCTCCATTTTCCAGAGGCATGGCGATGTATCAGGTTCAGCTCATTTAGGGGGTGCTCTGGTTGCTGCTCTTGTGTGGGCTCGAATTAGGAAAGGCTGGATCTGATCTTCTAGCGTCATGTATATATGTGGATGGAAAGTAAGTGCAAAGGCAACCATCTGCCACCACCTTGTGGCCCATCGGATTGAAATTTGCATTTGTTACCAGATAATTTGCTTAGAGTTGAGGGGATGCCTTCTAAAACATGCTGCTTTCTGCCCTGGATAATGTTGCGGGCTTGTGGCGGATATTGTCAACTTTGGCAGCTGAAGTTTTTAGAATGTATCCTGTCAAAGACAATGGGGGTTCATGTCTTCATTCAAGTTCCCCTGCTTTTCTAGCCTTGTGCTAAAGACGTGAATGCGTGTGTTTTTTTTACCAAACCGCGATGGACCTGAATTTCATCCCTCCGAGGTCCCCGCGGGCCTTCACCGACTGGGGATCCAAACATACAGTACATGGCCACGGGTTCTGCCAATTGGCCCCATCGCCTTCTTGAGTCATGTGCTCGCGAGATTCGTATGCTCAGCACGAGCCGTCTCGTCACAATCATCTGACGAGACGACGCATCCGCGTGCGTACGGCGCCCGCCGTGCCTCGGCGACACGTCGGCATGTAACTGCTCCCTCTATCCCAACATAACCGTCATTTTGGATATCATATCATAAGTTTCACTGGTTGTAGAAAATACGTGTAAGATTTATATCTTCAAATAACCAAGCTATTTAATCCCAATCGAGGTGTGGAAATACCTTGAGGACATAGCTATAGTATGGCTAGCTAAGCTGTTTAACCATATTTTTCTATTGAACAAGATGCCTGATGAGTGAAGGAGAAGTATATTGGTACCAATCTACAAGAATAAAGGGGATATTCAAAGTTGTATTAATTATCGGGGAATTAGGTTGATGAGCCATACTATGAAGCTATGGGAGAGAGTTATCAAGTATCGCTTGAGAGCAATAACGTGGGTCTCTATGAACTAATTTGGTTTCATGCCCAGAAGGTCAACCATGGAAGCCATTTTTTTAACAAGACAAGTTATGGAGCGGTATAGGGAGAAGGATCTACACATGGTTTTTATTGACTTGGAGAAGGCTTATGATAAAATACCAAGGAATGTTATGTGGTGGGATTTGGACAAACATACCCGTCAAACTATGTCACAGTCCCCCAAATCACAAATTTGAACTGTCCAAAGAAAATGCGTCGGGCTCATTAAGGACATGTACAACAATGTTGTGACTAGTGTTGAACAAGTGATAGAGACACGGATGACTTCCCCCGATTAGGATAGAACTACATCAAGGATCAAACTTTTTGAGCCCTTATCTCTAGATTTGCCTTAGTGATGAATGAGGTCACAAGGGACATACAAGGGACATCCTTGGTGTATGCTTTTCATGGACTCATAGACGATGTAGTGCTAGTTGATGAAAGTCGGACGAGAGTGAATTTAAAGCTGGAGTTATGGCGGGAGACTTTGGAGTCAAAGGTTTTAGACTCAATAGAACTAAAAGCGAGTATATGAGATGTGACTTCGCACTACTACTCGGAAGGAGGAAGATATTAGTTTGGAAGGTCAAGTAGTGCCTAGGAAGGATACCTTTCGATATTTAGGATCAATGCTACTGAGAGAGGCGGGGATATTGATGAAGATGTTAACCATAGAATCAAAAAGTGGTGGATGAAGTGGCGCCAAGCATCCTGGTGTCCTATGTGACAAAAGGATACCTTGGAAGCTAAAAGGCAAGTTTTATTGACAATGTTGTGACTATGAACAAGTGATGGAGACACGGATGACTTCCCGATTAGGATATTAGACTTATCATTGCTATGTTGTATGGTGCAGAATGTTGGTCTACGAATAGACAACATGTTCAACAGATAAGTGTCACGGAAATGCGTATGTTGCGTTGGATTTACGGTCATACAAGAAGGGATTGAGTTCGGAACGATAATATACGTGATATATTAGGGGTAGCACCAATTGAAGAAAAGTTTGTCCAACATCAGTTGAGATGGTTTGGACATGTCCAACGGAGACCTCCAGAGGCACCGGTGCGTAGTGGAATCCTAAGCTAGGATAGTAACGTGAAGAGAGGCAGAGGAAGACCGAAGTTGACTTGGGTAGAGGCAATAAAAGGAGACTTGAAAGGATGGAATATACCCAAAGACTTAGTGTCGGTGTTTCGAATAAACACCAACTAGTAAATTTATATTTGTTGTGTGTTAGACCCGGATAGTGTACTAAAGGACACAATGTTTATACTGGTTCGGGATGAATGTCCCTACATCCAGTTTGCTGTTGCTCGTGTTATTAGCACTAAAAAAGGTTCGTAGTAGGGGGTACAAATGGTCAAGAGAGGGACAGGTCCCAAGTCTCTGATGAAAAGGTCGAAAGGATGCCAAGAGCTCGGTTGCTGCTTGGCTGTGTGTTGTGTGTGGAATCAATCAGTCCCTTTAGTGGGGTGTCCTGCCCTCCCTTTTATAGACCAAGGGGGAGAAGGGATTACAGATGGGAGAAAGAGGAAAAAACCAGAGGTAGAGAAGGTCCTTCGAAGGTGTCGGGTCTTCCTTTTCCTTTGAGCCTACCCTGCTGACATGGCAGACGGTGCCAGGGATAGCACGTTCATCGATCCTGATAGGGCCGTGCTCTGGCTTCGTTCAGCAAATGATCACGTCCCATCCTACTCCGACGGACGGTGCGGTGTGCCAGGGTGCCGAGCCGTGACCCAACGGGGAGCAGACAGGGAAGTGACCATACGTTCGTTACTGTAGATGATGTGAGTTCCCTCCTGGATTATAGTGGTTGTCGTATGCTCATGTCAGGGTCCACGTTCGAGGGCCGATGGCGGCGCCCACAACACTATAAGGCAAAAGTCAGCGCCTACAACACTGTTCGGGCTCTGTCATGCCTGGAAGGGCTTAAAGCACCCGTCCCGTCATATCCTGATGGTACTTTCCCATAGGCGTGTAGGGTATGGTCCTCGGTACTGCGGCTGACCTGAGTGTCCTGTCTTACCCTGTGCTCGTCATTTATGAAAGAGCAGGGTGTAGACGCCTGGGACGTCGGGCGAGGCGGAGCCTGCCCTCGGACATCGGGCGAGGCGGAGCCAACCCTAGGACATCGGGCGAAGCGGAGCCCACCCTCGGACATCTGGCGAGGCGGAGCCAGCCTCGGGACGTCAGGCGAAGCGAAGCCTACCCTCGGACGTCGGGCGAGGCGGAGCCAGCCCTCAGCCGTAGGGCGAGGCGGAGCCAGCCCTCGGACGTTGGGCGAGGCAGAGCCTACCCTCGGACATCGAGCGAGGCAGAGCCAGCCCTCAACCGTCGGGCGTGGCGGAGTTTGGCCATAGACGTCGGACGAGGCGGAGTCAGCCCCAGGACATCGGGCGAGGCAGAGCCAGTCCTGGGACGTCGAGCGAGGCGGAG